ACTAAGCGGCGGTGAGATGCAGCGGGACGCATCGGAGCAGGCGGCCACGGTGCGTGATCGTCCGCGACGGCAGCGTAGCCATTTCAGAGAGCTATGGTGCTAACGGAGCAGTAGAGGTAGCGGAGAAGCATCAGGGGCTCACTGCAAACCTGGCTGAGGTGATGGTTCGATCGATGGCTACCTAAGCAGGGCTGGCCGCGTGCGACCGAATGGTGCGGCGGCGCACCGCGGTAGACACGGCCGGGTCAACGGCACCGGGGTGGCGGTGGCGGTAAGGCTAAGGGATGCAGAAGGAAGAGGGGTTCTAGTCTAAGCTAGTAGTGTAGCCGATTTGGCTCTAGGTGGTTGGCTGGAGGGCTGCCATCGGCACCTGCCGATCATGGCCTTTTCGGCCTGATGGTGAGGAAACGCCCAAATTGGAGCTTGGCCGGGCGCGATTCAAGGCAGGGTGGAGAGGGGCGAACAAGCGACTTAATGGCGGAGCATGAGACGTGACGAATCAAGTCAAGGTGACCTCTCCAAGCCAAATTGGTGAGCGAGGTCAGCCGGTCGGGATGGCAGAGAAGGGAGGGGGGTAGGTCAGAGCTCGGCTCGTCCTCGCCTTGGTGAGGCGAGGATGGAGCCATCAGTGCGGCACGCATGCAACTGCTATGGCCAAAACGTGCACGTCCACGACCAGGCACGGCATGTGCGGCCGCAGTGCCATAAATGGCGAGGCGACGTCATCAGCAGCAGGGGCAAGGCCACACGCTGGTGGCGAGCATGATAGCAGCAATGTCGTAGCGTGAGGTAGGGAGGACAGCGACAGCAGTAGTGCGGCGACGGATGGGGCAGCCGCACGGCAGGGTGGCAGCGGCCAAGGGGGCGCAGGGCCAGCGGCTGGCCGTGCAGGCGGCCCACGGCCAGCAGCGCGGGCTGTGGCCAGAGACGGCCAGGTCACGGCCAAGCTGAGGGCGGCCCTAGCCCACCAGCGCGCGGCCACGCGCGCGCGTGGCTCGGTCAAGCGTGGCCACGACGAGCACCGTTACACGGTGGCCGCGCACTCTAGGCCGAGCGACCAGAAACGTGTTGCGCACGAATTTTAAAGCGTCTGCAAAAACTAAACTACTGGAATTGAAACTAAACCGCCTTCACTGTGCTAAAGAGGGCCTATTAGGCTACCATCCAGAGCTAAAACATGACACCACCTCTTAACTCAATTTCACAGGATTAATTCCCAAACATGGTGCTGTCAAACTGTCTTTAGACTTGAGGAATTTTCTAAGTCTTGAGCTGAATTCAATTTCAAGTTCTATTTCTCAGCTATTAGAAATACTAGCTAGCAATGTTATTTTTCAAGAGCAAGAGTTGCATTGTCATCTACAAGATTTGTGCTTCAAACCTTATTTAGGTGTCACACACATGTTCTATAATACTTTTGCTTAATAAAAATTGGTTTTCAACCCTATTTGATATACATGAGCTATTGAATCAACTTTCATTTAACATTTTTATTAGTCATTTTAGGTTACAAGAAATTGATCTACACACTTTATCATATGCTTTATCACATAAACATGATGTTCATGACATAGTTATGTGGTTTTGTTTAGGGCGTAACACCGTGTTACACCGGAGATGGGCGCTGGAGAGGAGGAGGGAAGCCGGAGCTCGTCGCTGGCGCGAGGAAGCAGGCTGCCGTGCGGGTCCCTTATTAACGCACGGCTAGCTGTGCAATAGCAGTATCCTTCAAACTAATATGAAAAAAAGAGTAAATTTTAAGTGTGCGTAGAACTTGCCTTCAAGTTGCAGGGCCCCGCGTCACTCAGAGACTCACGTCCATAGTTGACAAAGGTGGCGACCTAGGCGCGTATCCACCCCTCCTCGCTGGCAGCAGGGCTGTTTTTGGTAGGAGTGCCTCCGATCCTCTCGGTTTGAAATCCATGTCGGAGTTGTGCGGATCCGTCGTCCTGGTGCTCGGGTCCAGTGGGTCTGGACCTTTTTCGCAGCGGTTGCTTGGCCAAGTCAAAAGCGACACTAGTGACAGAAAGTGATGTGGACTCGGGCATGGTTTCGAGGTTGAATGGAGCTGACTAGGGTCGCCCTGGCCCCTGGGGTGTAAGGCAAGTTGCCATTTCGTGGTGACTTAGGACCAGTTTAGTTCCCGAAAATTTTGTCAAATTTTTCAGATTTTTTGTCACATCGAATCTTTGGACGCATGCATGAAGTATTAAATATAAATAAAAAATAAAACTAATTACACAGTTTAGACGAAATTCATGAGACGAATCTTTTAAGCCTAATTAGACTATGATTGGACACTAATTATCAAATAACAATGAAAAGTGCTACAGTGCATTTTGCAAAAATTTTCGCCATCTAAACATGCCCTTATGTGGTTTTGACATGGTGGCTTGCATTGCAGTGTGGCGCCAAGGTTCGAGGTATGCTTTGGGGACCTGTGGTGGCCAACGACGACGACGTCCTTCTTTTACACACGAATCACAATAAAAATCAAATTATAAAAAATTCTAACATGTATTTGGTCTTCAAAATTCAAATTATGAAAAACAATCAAACATGGAAGACCATACTAAGGAGTCATATCAAAAAGGCCACGTGAAAAACCCGCACCAAAAGACAATGTAAAAACACATAGCCAGACAATTATTAAAGAGCGCAGGTCAGGACAACAATGAAGACAAATAATTCAAAATGCTCGAGAATGCTCTTCAAGCTACTATAAAAGAAGAAGCCAGGTGCATGCAACGATAAGAACGACCTCCTTTTACACACACCTATGAGATGAGAAGAAGCACCCTTTACTGTTGTCCACTTTCCACATTTAGTCTAGTCTACCTACTCCCTCCGTCCACACAAAAAATATAATTTTTATTTTTCGAGAAGTCAAACAGTTTGAACTTGACTAAATTTATATAAAAAGTACAAACATTTATGATACAAAGTAAGTACCATTAGATTAGTTATAGAATATATTTTTATAATAAATTTATTTGGAGACATAAATATTAATAATATTTGTTATAAACTTGATCAAACTTGAGTTTCTTTGACCAACACATATTCTAATTGCGTTCTTTTACGGACAGAGGTAGTACCATCATAAGGGCAGCAGCAACGCAGGCATACAAGCCTATTAGGGGACGTTTGGATCCAGCTACTAAAATTTAGGAGGTGTGTCGGAAGAATGTTGCATATGGTGTTCGGATACTAATAAAAAAAATAAATTACATAATCCATCAGTACTCCACGAGACGAATTTTTTGAGCCTAATTAATCCGTCATCAGCATATGTTTACTATAGCAAAACATTATCAAATCATAGACTAATTAGGCTTAAAAGATTCGTCTCGCAAATTAGTCACAAACTATACAATTAGTTTCGTAATTAATCTATATTTAATACTCTATACATGTGTCAAACATCCGATGGGACAAAAATTTAGGAGGGGCAACAAGCACCCCCTTAGACCGAGTCAAAACTAGTGATACACATAGCCATCGATGGTCTTGGGGTTTCCAACTCCGAATGCAGTGATCACTCTCTCTCTCTCTCCTGTGATTCCAAAGCCTGAACCCACACACCTTTCTATCTCCGCTTTTTGGCACCAAGGACATGGATATGGATGTGATTTCTCACAAACGCGTGATAGGGCCTCTCGGTTTTGTTTCCAAGGCACGGGCCAAATGGGTGCTCTAAACTTTTGTCAGAAGAAGCGATAGATGCCTCTGTAGGCACCCCTAACATGCCCCGAAGCTACCAGTGAGGGTGACATGGACAGCGGAGGTACACATGGAGCTTGGGGCAGCACGTAACCATGGAGGGGGAAGCCCTAAGGTAGAATAAAGGAGTTGCTTGTGATCACCTCGGACTTATAAGGTAATTCATCTAAAGTTGTGCTAAGTATTTGGGTTTTCCCAAAGGAATATAAGTAGTTTCCCTTTGAAAATCACTGCTTTCTTTAGTTCATTGCTATTTTTATACATAGTGCCACGTGGATGATGGCTTAGCACGTTTTAATTCTTTTATTAGTATTCATCCTTATCATCGTCATCATCATGCCAAATGCATGCGCCTAGCTTCTCCTTTTATAGCCGCTCAATGAGCATTTTGGAGTGTCTTGAATTATTTGCCTTCACTATATTGCTTGGGCACCTGGCCAATGCTGCGCTCTTTAATAATTGTCCTATATACTGACACATCCATTATTACCCTTGCATATTCCTTTTGCATTATCTTTGGGGTTTTCACGTGGTCTTCTGGACTCCTTGGTATGGTATTCCACGCTTAAATGATTGATGTCATAAATATCAATCAAATTATAAAAATATTTAAACATGTATTTGGTCTCCAAATTATAAAAATATTCTTGTGTATATTTGCTCAGAATAGTGTTCTAGGTGCCTATGCTCTTTTTTTTTACCTTTCAAATTTTAATTCTAGCTTGTCTTGTCTTTAATTTTACCTCAAGTTATATAAAAAGAATATGTATCAATTCTACTATTAATTTAACTTATTATGTGTTGTGAGGTATGCCAAGTATGTTCTTCAAAACTATTTATTCTGCACCTTATATTCATATCCTATTTAGTATTGACATTTTTTCTTGTATTAACTTCTAAATCTAAATGGTTTAGCTTTTCTATTTTGTTTTAACTTTATACAAATCAAAATAATATACCGGGATATACTTTCTAGAAAAAGGACACTAAGATTAGTCCTAAATGACGTCAAAGATATTATTGCGCAGTGACAACATTCTTTACATTTCTTCTGATTTTCGTTCTTTTGCAGCTCTCATAATATATAAACAGAGGCAGGAGAGGGACGATATTGTTTGAACGATGTGATAATCTATACAGAAATTTGAGGCAAGATATTCAGATTATTTATTATGGATCTCATGAACTTAACGAAATAGAATCATTGAACAATTTTTTTGATATATGGAATTTCCGGTAGCACCCAGCCCTCTCTTGAGAGTGCATTGCCATGTGATCTATACGATGAATGTGCGCTCACTTGCTGCAGAGTATCCTTCAACCCAGGTCTTGTGGATATGTATCAGCTCCAATCCCTCAGGAGTGTCCGACTGTCAGTTGGAGCAGATAGTAACAGCATAAGCTATGTGAATTTTTTAGATGAACACAAATATGCATGTAACCGCCGGAGTGTGAAGGATTACAGTAGGATCGAGAAAGTTTACCTTCAGATTCAGCAGAAGAGTTGAGCGGCAGCAATACCGAGCATCACCTGAAATTAGAAGGAATACTGACCACTGAAGCTGAAGCCAACAAAAAATAAATAAATTTCTAAAGTACCGAGTTCGGAATGGAAATGGAAAGGCAAGCAGAGAAGAGAAAATGAAAGGTCACAGCATGATATGTTGAAAATGTATTGCAGGCGGTTAGCTGAACAAAGTGACAACTATTGGAACTCTACCTAAATTAGTTCATCATGAGAAGAGATATGCATGGGGGCATACCTTCCATTTCCCATTTGTCAAACTTAACCAACCAGTTACTTGTAGCCACCGGTGATGTAACAAGTCTGTCCACCCATGCCCGGAACTTCTTGCCTTTTTTGTCACCATAGCATGAACGCAGTGCATCAATGGATGCATGAAGAGAATGCTCCAATCCACAAGGACGAATAATTGTTCCATTCAAATGCTAAAAAAGAAGAAGAAAAATCATCAGCTTAAACTTTAAAGAAAGCACAAGAAACAATGAGGCAGGAAAATGCACATTTTGTCAGACAACAAATTACTAGTACAAATCGATCAGGTATTACTTGTAAGACATTATGAGAGAAATGCAGATATGAGGCAGGAAAAAAGGCACATTTTGTCAGAATAAATTAGTAGTACAATATGATCAGGAATTGTTACCTTCTGCACACTCCAATTTGAATTGTCTACTTCATAAAGAGCTTACAGATATGAAAAGAATGATTTTTTTTTTTTAAAAAAAACAGGTTACTCTAAGAAATTAAACAAGGGGAGTACTTACAGCAATGCTTTTCAAGTACTGTATTACTGATGAGGACTTTTCAACTTCGCCCCTCCGCCACTTCTCGTAGATAACGTAGAACTTCACCACCAAATCTGCAGGCTTGATGATGCTTAACTTTGGATGAGGGAGTTCAAGATCTCTAGGAGAAACATTGGGTCCTAGTTTGAAGTGTGCAATAGCTTGCATGATACCGGCTGCACATCTCTTAGTGGAATGAATTATCTTGGGATTACACATAGCATTTTCTTCGCGCCATTGAAGAAGCTCCTCTTGGGCATTGCTGACCTGAACATGGTTTCAAAATGCAGTAGTAATTTTAGGGGTTATGGGACAGTAAACAGCCACTGTCACCGAAGTTATTGCAACATCACCACCAATGATTATTTTAAGGGAGTAGTAGCTTTTGTGCACTGAATTACTGACCATGACGCCATGGACTGATGGGATACTGAACAATTCTGCATCATTTCCGGAATCGCCACAAACAAGAATATTGCTCGGTGCTTTCCTCTGTGAATTGAGCTTGTTCAGCAAATACTGAAGAGCCTGCCCCTTTCCTGCACCTTGCGGTACCACATCAATAAGCACACCATAGCTGAAGATTGTTTTTACATGTATCTGTTCACAGAAAAAGAAGCTGGAAACTCAAAACAAAGCTCAACTGGCGAATGCCTCAGTAATATAATATTAATATAAGAAAATGTACTTTCTGCTATATCAGTGCCGGTTCCTTCAAAAGAAATATTAATTATAAGAAAATTGATCTTACCCCACGTTTCTTCAAGTTGTGAGGGAGAGCGTGCATTACTTCCTGAGCACCTTGCTTGTCAACCAAAAATGTAACCTTATGGGGACCCTGATCCTTCTCTGGCTGTATCCGTACAGAGGATTCAGCTCAGCATCAAGCACAAAACAAAAACAAAATGCGAACATGATCATGCATGCAACGAGATAGAAACCTGCCTAAGGCTTCAGCTGAGGGAACTTTGCCGCCTCCTCGACGACGATATCTCGGTCCCAGTTGCTGCTCAAATGCTCCTCCCAGTCAGCATCGCGAACCATGTCGCCGCCATAAGCTATCACAGTCCCCACAGACATTATGGTGATGTCCGGAGTGATCAGAGGCTTGTTTTTCCTCAAATCATGGTAGCTGATCGGCGATCTCCCGGTCGAGAAGATGAGAAGAGAACCGTGGGAGAACTCGGCCTCCCAGAGCGCCTCGAACCTGAGCAAGGACAGGTCTTCTGGATCATCATGATCAACCTGCATGTAAATGATCCAAAAACATTAAGAGCGCCTCGAACCTGAGCAAGGACAGGTCTTCTGGATCATCATGATCAACCTGCATGTAAATGATCCAAAAACATTTAGGAACACAGCATGGGTCAGCTCCTGATCGAATCTGGATTTATCTGAACTCGAAGGTTTGTGCACCATGGTCTGATCAAGATCAGAGACGATCATAAGGCGGGCTGAAGCGTAGAGCTTCTCCATTGAAGCTCTTGCCAAGATTGCTGGCAGGGGTTGGGTGTTTCTGCTGTTGGGCTCCCTGAATGAACATGGCAAACGACAGAAATGTGCTCCTCGTGTATTCTTCACCTACCCTTTGGTCAACCAGTGGCCAGGTCTTGTTTTATGTTGAAAATGAAGAAGAGAAGATGATTATGGCTTGTGCCTGGAGGAATTCAGGCCACCATAGACAGCAATTGCGCGATGCAGTAATTTGGGCACATGGTCAATGCTGATAAGAATTGCAGACGAAATGAAGCTGCAACTTCTGAGAATGACCATGGACCAGGTTAGGCAAATTAGAACACAGCTCTTCTTCTTTTTCCAGGTATCATAGTTAATTGTCCATAAGGACTCAGCAAAAGAGAGGCAAGAGGTCATATTACTGAATCATGTAAAAAGCCACAGACAATCTTGAGGCAAGAGCTTCAGCTAATTTATGGATCTCATGAAATTCATGAGAAGGAATCATGGAACATCTTTTCTTGTACATGGAATTACCGAGCATCGAGACGGTCTGGAAGTACATTTTGATTCTATCTGGACTTGGAACAAAATATGTGTTATGACTATCTGCGCTTCGCGAGTGACTAATTAATCTACAAGATGAACGTGTGCTCGCTCCCTGCAGAGTGTCCTTCAACCCAGGTCTTGTGGATGTGTGTCAGCTCCAAGCCCTCTGGAGTCTCAGGCTGAGTTGAAGCAGATAGAAATAATTAAAACATACACTATATATACAGGTGCACAAAAGTAAGCAACAGCAGAACGGGAGAATTTACCTTGATATGCAGCAGAAGAGTAGTGCGGCAGCAATACCGAACAGCACCTGAGAATAGTAGGAGCATTAACACTGAAGCTCGAATAAAACCAAATGAAATACTGAAGCGCAGACCATCCAAGGATCAAAAAAGAAGAAGAAATAGAGACATGGTATGATAAAGTATAAAACATATCATGAAGCTACATGAAAGAAGTGGCAACTACTGGCACGGATTAAGAGCCACAATCAGTTTATCATGTGAAGGGCTGAGGACTGACCTTCGATTTCCCAGTTGTCAAACCTCACCAACCAGTTACTTGTACCAATTGGCGATGTAACTAGTCTGTCCACCCATACTCGGAACTTGTTGCCTTGTTTGTCCCCATAGCAAGAACTTAGAGCATCAATAGACGCGTGAAGAGAACGTTCCGATCCAGAAGGATGAATAATTGTACCATTCAAATGCTACAAAATAAAAAAAATGATGTTAAAGAAAACTTCAAAGAATCAAATTTAACTATTTAAGGCAGCAAATTGTGTATTTTCTCAGACAAAAGACTAGTTGTATGATTTGATCTCGAATAACTTCTGAAGAGAGAAAAAAAGACAAATGGAGCTCTGAAATGTGCAATTACTTTCTGCATTGTCCACTGTAGGAAAGTGGTCATGATAAAAAATAGTGGACATTTACAAACAAAAACCAAGTTACTCTTAGAACTGAAAAGAGGAAGTACTTACAGTAATGCTTTTCAAGTACTGCATAACTGATGAAGAATTTGGAAGGTCACCCCTCCGCCACTTCTCATAGAGAACATAGAACTTCACCACCACATCTGCAGGCTTAGCGGTGTCTGCCTTTAGATAAGGGAACTCAAGATCTCTTGCAGAAACATTGGGTCCTAGTTTGAAGTGTCCAATAGCTTGCATGATACCGGCAGCACATCTCTCAGTTGCATGAATTATCTTAGGATTATCCTTTGCATTTTCTTCATACCACTGAAGCAGCTCCTCTTGGGCATTGCAGACCTGAACATGATATGAAAACCCTTTGGTAAGCTTAACAGAGTAGCCACTGTCACCAACGAACTTTAGTTGACAGTTTCAAGGGACTCCTTGTGCACTGAATCACTGACCATGACTCCATATACAGATGGGACACTGAATAGTTCTGCATCGTTTCCAGAGTCACCACAAACAAGAGTATTCTTTGGTGGTTTCTCATATGAATTGAGCTTATTTAACAAGTACATAAGGGCCTGGCCCTTGCCTGCACCTCGTGGTAAAACATCAAATGCCTCACCGCTGCTGTAGACTATTTTCACATCTAGCTAATCACAGTTAAGGAAGCAGAAAGTCAGAACAAAAGATGTCAATAAGTGCTGCTCCAGCATTAAAAAATGTGGAAAAATCTAGAAGGTATGCATGTGCCTTACCCCACGTTTCTCCAACTTCTGTGGGAGATAATCCATTACTTCTTGAGCACCCTGCTTGTCAACGAAGAAGCTAACCTTATGGGGACCCTGATTCCTCTCTGGCTGCATCCAAACGATAAAAAAGTAAATACATAGTTCTAGTTCAGGCATTAAAATGGGACTAATAACCAGCAAAAAGAAATCGTTGTAGCAAAGCAACTGGACATGCCTGAGGCTTTAGCTGAGGGAACCTAGCTGTCTCCTCAACGACAATAGTCCTGTCCCAATTGTTGTTCAGGTACTCCTCCCAACCAACATCACGGATCATCTCTTCACCGTATGCTATCACAGTTCCCACAGACATGATGGTGATGTCCGGTGTGATCAGAGGCTTATCTTTACGCAAGCCCTTGTAACTGATTGGCGTTCTTCCGGTCGAGAAGACCAGCAGAGAATCCTGGGAGAACTCGGCCTCCCAGAGCGCCTCGAACCTAAGCAAGGACAGGTTCTCTCGATCCTGATGATCAATCTGCGAGTAAATAAATAATCCGTAAGTTTGAGAACTGATGATGATCAGGTACACAACTGAAAAGTATGATTCAGTTCATACTGAATCTGGAAAATTGAACCAAGGTCTGAACTGGAACACGCACCATCGTCTGGTCAAGATCGGAAACGAGCACGAGGCGGGCAGAACCGTCGAGCCTATCCATCTGGCAGACTGGCACAACTCAGCTGTAAAAGAGGAAGAAGGAGAAGGAGAAGAAGTGATTTTGACTATACACTTTCCTGAACAAACACGGCAAACACAACAATGTGCTCAACAACTGATAAAGTCTTGCTTTGTGGGGGCAAAAAGAAGAAGTAAAGGATGGCTGCATCGACAGGTAGTATCTCCTCCCACCTTAATATATACACTTCGTTAGAAGCAACTGTACGTCTGTACCAGCATTTGTTTTTGACGGCCAGGGCCAACCATCCACACAAGCTACTGTCCTAGCTACTGATGATAAGGAAGGCGAGGAGATAAGCATTGCTGACTGCGGAGTATGTATATGTGGAGTATATAGGAAACTCTATGCATCTATCCTATGATCCTATCCATAGCAGCCATGTTCAACGTAAATGTCGTCAGAATGGAAACGTGAATGTCCCTGGAACGACGTTCGCAGAACAAGGAACGTGGCCATGTTTCACGTTTCCGGCTGCTAAGCAACTATCCCCACCCTCACCCACAAACCTATACCACCACTCCATGTGAGATGCTACTAAACAGCAAGATCGCCATCTAATGGCTGCGCAAGCTTTGGCTTTGTGTGGAGCAAACAAATGCAACCGTGAGAAGGAACCGTGGGGCAGCGATGGCGGCGGCGCGCGGCCGAATCTGGGCGGGCGTACGGGCCAGATTCACGGGCGCAGGCAAGATCGCGCAATGTGTTGGTTGAGCGCGAGGATCGAAGTCAACGATGGAAAGAAATCAAACAGCCGCGCGCGCGCATCCACACAAGTACATGACAAACGGAGGTTGAATAATGGAAAGGGGCGGACTGGCGGAGGGTAGGTCTCACCTGGGTCCAGCAGGGGCGGCGGCCGGACGGTGGCGGCGGCGTGTGGCGGCTTCCGGCCGGGGCGAGGAAGAATCGTCGCGGCGCCAGACGGCTGGAGAGGCTGGAGGCTGGAGGCTGGAGGCTGGACGGAGATCAGGACTGGACTGGAGGGAGTGGAGGGAGGGAGGGAAGGAAGTGGCCAAAGTGCGCAAAGAACAAATGCTGCTGCCGCTGGCCGCTGCTGCTCGGCGCTTTCCATTATCATATCAAATATCAAACGGAAACTAAATTACACCGAGTGGAGAGAATATGGCCAATTTGCGCGTCAACTTTTTTTTACTTCCTCCAATTAAAAATATGTGTCTATCAGAATATCAGATGGCAATTTGACTAACGGTGTGTAAAAATATATACTCTCTCTGTCCCAATGATAAGCATATTTGATGAAAAAAAAAATCGAACTTCATAATTTTTAACCAATAATTATTTAATTATATATAGATTTACGACATAAAATATATGTTAATAGATTTGTATTCAATGTAGCTGAAAAATGAGATTAGTTCTTTAGCAAACAACATTATATGTAATAGAAATTAAGGTTCAATATTTATTTTTTATTTTCACTTGTTAAAATATGTTTGTCGTTTCAGAACACAGTAAATATTATATTTTATATAAAAAAAAGGACTTTATTGGATTTTAGGACAATTTAATAAGTATGTCTTGCCTATTAAATGAAGGAAAGTAGAATAATCTCTACTAAATGGTTTTAGGATAAACAAAAAAAGGTGTTTCACATATTATCCTAAAAATAAAAAATATTTCATGAGAGAATCTAAATCGTTTTTTTCTTCAAAAATACTGTATTTCTTTAACAAACTAGATCCCCACTAAACTAGACTAAATTTATTTCTTCATGCATGTCACGTTGGCAACTTGTCCATGTGTAGCACATATACAGGTGGCACCATCAGAGAAGCACGTTTTTGTGATGTTTTCAAATCCACCGCACACTAAGGGCCTGGTGCCTATTTTGAACGTGTAGGTCGGATGAATCTGTCTCGCCGTTCAAACCCAAATATCCCTAATTAAGAAAGCTGCTAGGATGGTGACCATACTCAAGGCTCACAAACCATGATGTGAAGAAATAGCGAGCCATATATAAAAAGAGAACAATATACGTAGTTAGCAGTGGAACTCAAACTATGTCAGCATCGGTTAGCTGTTAGCTATTGAAGCTTTGAAGCTCTCTATAGGCCAGCCCTCGGTACTCAAGACATGTTTGGATACTAATGGCTAATTGCTACCTAACTAAAGGGGTGTTTGGATCCACCAGCTAAAGTTTAGCCCGGATCACATCAGATGCTATTTGGATGTCAATTAGGAGGGTTAAATATGAACTAATTATAAAACTAATTGTATAAGCCGTGACTAATTCGGAAGATGAATTTATTAAGCCTAATTAATCCATGATTAGCATATGTTTACTATAGCATCACATTGGCTAATCATGGACTAATTAGGCTTAATAGATTCGGCTCACGAATTGACCTTTATTTATACAATTAGTTTTATAATTAGTCTATATTTAATACTCTATCCGTCCATAAGTTTCCATCGTGTGAGCAAAAAATAAGTTTCCAAGAGTCTCTGTTGTTTTTACATCGGGACTACAGTGTAACACCTTTGGTGTTACGAGCTCGCTAAGCACCGAGATTTGGGCCTAAGAAAAAATACCGAAACAAGTTCCTCGGTTTTTAAGATTTAAACTCACACGAAATGATGAACGACTCTTATGTGATTTACCTTCTAGTTGAGAGTAATCAAATAAAAACCTAAGTAATTCATTTAGTGCATAAAACTGTTAGTGAAAATCATAATAAGAAAAATATGATACGTAGCTTTAATTGTTGGGCATGAAAAACTATTTTTATAAACAAAAATCAAATATCACTTGTATGTAGCGCTTAAATAAAGTTTAGAGTGCAAGTGAAGTAGGTGGAAATGTAACATTCATTTTGGGAGAATAAATACTATTAGTTAGTATTTTGGGAGTTCAGAAATCAAACTTGGAATTAAGGAGGGTCATTTTCGTTGTTAACTAATACTTGAGTTTATGTTAAAAGTATCATTCTTTGGCGAATTATATTGAACAAACGGGTTAAATAATTTTTAGATGTTTTGTTCCTATGAGTTAGCATGAAGTATGAGCTATGTCATGACATGTTGTCTAGTTGAAATTGACGAGGCTTAGACCGATTAAAAATTCAACCAAAAATGTTGGGGAAGGTTAGTTCTAATCGAACATCGAATTCGTTAAGTCTGAAATGATAATGAACAATGCTATGTTGTCATTTAAATTTTAACAAAAATGCTTAATCGATGGCTTCATATTTTGACATCGTTGGTCGCACCAAGGTGAGTGCACGGGCTTGGTATATGTAGTTGTGGTGTTGGGTGGTGCGTTGCTCACGCAAAAATTCTCCGAACTACGTTGGAACGCGCTGCAAACTATGGTTCGGTGCCCGATTCGCGAACCGCCGTCCCGCGTGACGAACTCATGTTGGCACCTCCCTATCTCGCTCTCTAGTCGCTCTCTTGACGTGAGGTTTGTTTCGCCAGCTAGGTGTTAGTACCGACTTTAGGTTAGTGGAACCGGTTGAACCCGAGTTGAGTTGATCAGCAGCTTATGTATCGCTTTGAAAATCGTGCACATCATCGCTTGTTGTGGCACAGCCCGTGTCCGCGGTCACCGCGTGCACTGTCGCTCCGGCCCTTTCTTGGCCCTGGTCATTCCGTGGTTGGCCTTGCGGGCTGCCGGCCGTGCGTCGGGATGGGGTGGCCTCAGCCACCACCGCGGGCCGACTACGCTGCCAGGCTACCGCGCATGGCCGTCGCATGCGCGTTGCTGGCCAAGCCGCGCACGGGCCAAGTTGTGGCCACTCATCAGCCGCTAGACCGACGTGGCACCCGTCTTGCCGCTCGAACCACCTACCAAGCCAAGTTCGATGCCGTCGCGTAGCCTGATGCATCATGACGTCACGCTACTGTGTGCGTGTGGCCGCACGCTGGCACGCCTTAATGGCTCTGTCTGGGCAGTGGTAGCCGCGCCGCTTCCTGAAATATTAATGCGCGGACTGTGGCATCCCAGCTCAATTCAGCGCCATTGTAGCAAGGACTCATAACCAACTAGCCGTTGTGACCGCGCCAATTACCTTAGATGCCCTCCATCGCGTAAATTCGAGGTTCTGCTCGCCGTGGGCCATGTCGTCGTCGTGACCAGGAATGGGGAAGAAAGGTAGGATTGCAACGGTAATAGTTCAATTGCTCGTGGCTCTGAGCTCATCTCGACTCCCTCGTCACCCAGCGCACTTCACCCGAACCTCTACCACCTCACCGCCATCGCTGACGCGGCCATGTCCACCGCGGCTCACCACCAAGCTCGTAGTGCGCATGTGGCCAGCCCACCCTAGCCTTCCTTCGCGTCAACCATCGCCTCGGCTAGTGTTGTGGTAAGTCCATGGTGCTCTGGCGCCAGCCGGTTGGTCCTTTAGAGGCGCTAGCTAGCCGGAGTGGCTGCGTCACCGCCGTGGGCGGCCACGCGCCATGGCTGCGCTTGCCCGCGAGCCCCGCTGTCCCCCACCGCCGTGTATCGCCCGAGTTTAGGTTAGTGATGGTTGTTGGCCGATTAGATGGGGCCGGTGTGAGCCCTGCTCACCGACGTAGCCGCCTAGTGCCGCTGGCCGTCGCGCCGCCGCGCGCCCTGGGAAATGTCAGGGGGTTAAGTGAAGAGGGCTAAGAGAGGGAGGAATAGGGTTTGGGTCGCGGTGTAGGTCAGGAAAAGACCGAGGGCATTTTTGCTTAAACGCCCGGGGCGCGCGTGGGTTTCGCTGTGAGCCGTGTCACGTGGGCCGCGTCCGTGTTGGGCCGGTTTCGGTTTTTCCTTTTTAGGAGGAATTAGAAATACATTGTTAATTTTATTTCTGAGCGGATCTCTGGTAAATATTATAAAATCGCATAGATATCCAAAAATAGTGAAACTAATTTTGTTTGACCCCTAAAATCATGATCTATCTGCTAGTATATTTTGTTCACTTAGTTTTATAATATTCTTAGAATGCTATATAATTAAATTGAGGTATTTAATATTGTCAAAATATAAA